TCCTCAGCACCACATAACAGAAAAAACCAGAAGTGGCAGAGGCTCAAGTGGTAGAGCACTAGCCTTGAGCTGAAGAGTTAAGGGACAGTGCCCAGGCCCAGAGTTCAGGCCATAACTGACTAAAAAAAAAAAAGTAAAAAAAAAAAATTAAAAAAACCCCAAACAATTCATCAGAGGAATGGAGCAGAGGTAAGGCTACACATAATAATGTTCACAATATCTAAGACACACTATAATGACCAGAAAACCTAAAAATTACAATCTATTCTGTATGAAATAGATGAGCAACAGATGCCAAATCTAAGGTGATCCCATTTTTGAGATAATTAGATAATTTCTTCACAACAGTTGAGATACTTTTGCTCAGTAAAGAAAATACCGTGAAAATAGGCAATATAGAAAAAATCAGAGAAGATAAAATAGAGAGAAATTTAAAATACAGACATGTACTGAATAGAAATTTAATTATTGAGAAATAGTTGAAAACAGTTGCTAAATGAATCTAATAGCAGAATATGATGTCAGAGGAGCCAGTGAGCTTAAAAAAGTAATAAATTATTTTATCTGAAGAAAGAAAAAACAACCATGCTACAGTTTAATGAATATTAATATTTAAACTTTTACCAGATACCAAGTTTACTTGAACTTTGGTATTGGACTTTTCTGCCCTTATAGTTGTAAAAATTGAATTTCCATCCTTTATAAATTACCCATTCTGGGCTTTGTTATAGTAGCCCAAATGGACAAAGACAAGACTGTCTCCAGGTATATCAACCAAATCCAAGAATAATACCAAAAATTATTTACAACAGTATGGAAATTTCGGCACATATCAAGATAAAGTTCACAGCTTCTCTCAATAGCAAAAATTATCAGGGAATTTTTTTTTAGCAGTGGTATCAGCAAGATAGTAGAATAAGGGACTGCCCATTCATATCCTTCCACTCCATCAATATTTCTGTTCCCATACATATAGAAAGACCTTCTTTTTGTGAGAGCCTAGGAATTCAATTCTAACTCATCTAAGCCTCAGACCAGGGAGTGGGCCAACCTATCATCTAGAGACCTGACCTGATCCATTCCACATACCCAGAGGAATCCCCACCCCCTGCATCAACCTGTTAAGAAGCCTGCCATTTCTGAACCCTGAAGTAGACCTTTATTCCAATGCCAGCTCCAAAGCCCAAGGCTTGTGTCCAATTTATTCAGCGACCAAAGTAGAGTACATGCCCCATAGAGACCCTGCTAACATGCTCACCGGTGTTAGTTTCTATGGTGGTGTCATCATCAGTCACAATATCTGGATCCAACTTAGCTGACTCACAACTGCAGGTAATCCTATCAGCTCTGAGATGTAACAGGAAACTTCAACATGCACAATCAGTCTTTGGAAATGGGAATTTGCTCCTGAAAGTTCACGGATACCAACATAATGCTACACATATAACAAAGAATCAAGCAGTATGAGGCTCACGAAGGAAACTAAGAATGTTACATAATTGAAAAGGCAATACATGAAATGTCTGGAAAAGAGTTTGAAATAATCATTTTAAAGAAATTCAGTAAGATGAAAGAAAAGAAACCATCAGTAATATCAGAAAAAGATGCATGAACATCACCAAAAGTTTACTAAAGAAATGTAAGCCATAAGAAGACCCATACCAGAGACTTAAGCAGTACAGATTAAACCCATGACCTCACATTTGTAAGATAAACTGTCTACCATTGACCTCCAACTCAGCCCAAATTCTTGAAACTTGTTGAAGACTATTGTTGATCCAATATTTTAATTTTCATCATAAGACATCCTGTCTAGTTAAAAATGACTTTTCAACTTTTTTGTGTTCTTGCACACTGATGACTCATACTGTGGTTGTGTCTAATAACTTCTGTAAACATTGGCTTATAAATACTTCTAGGATATTTTATTTATAGTTAGTTTTAGAAACTCCAGGAGGATAACACTATTTTTAATGGATATACAATGACTTACTTTTAACAAAAAATGTGTAAAATATGCTCAATGACTTTGCTTATACATCAGAATAAAAATGGAAATACTTGTAAGAAAAGGACCACACAAAAATCTTAGAGCTGAATATTTTCATAACTGAATAGAAAAGCTCAATAGAAAATTTTAACATTAGATTTTCTCATGAAGAAAAAAATATCAACAAATTTGGAGGCAGGCCATTTAAGATGATCTAACTAGAGGAACAAATAGGAAAATAAAAAGAAAAGAAAGCAACAAACAAACCATAAGGAATGTCCCCAAACGTATAAACATACAAATTATGGAAAAATCAGAAGAAGAAAGAAGAAAGAAGAAAACTTATTAAGGAAATGATGTCTGATAACTCCCCAAATATTGAAGAGAATATGTACATACAGATTCAGAAAGGTAAAACTATTTCAAGTAAGGTCAGTTAATAGAATACTATGAGACACATTATAATCAATTTGACAAAGCCAAAATACAAACAGACCCTCCTGAAATCAGCAAGAGAGAAGAAATGAACATATCGCATATAAGACTCTCAGATGAGCTATTAGTAGACTTCTCAAAAGAAACTTAGTAAGCCAGGAGAGAGTAGGGTATCATATTTAAATTCCTGAAAGAAAAGCTTCCCAGCCAAGAACTTTTAACTTTTCCCAAGGCTAGAGTTTGGATTTGGAATGCTTTCCAAAGGTCTTTATGGTAAAAGACTTCATCCCTCACAAGATGCTTTGGGAGGGAGTAGAATCTTTAGGAAGTAGGGACTGGTGGGAGATCACTGGCAGTATGCCTCTGGAGTATAGTGAATACCATCCTCTTCTTCCTCTGTTTGACCTCTCACTAGTAAAGTAAGGTATTTTGCTCTGCCATGTACTCCTGCCATGATGTATGGGCACAAGTCAAATGTGCATGGACTAAACTGCCAAAACTCTGAGCCAAACCCCTCTCCTCCACATTTTCTCTCTGTAAGTCAATCATCTCTGGTATTTGTTATAGTAACCCCAAACTGACTAACACATCTGGCAAAGCTGTCTGTCAGAAATGAAGAGAACAGGCTAGGAATGTGTCTTAGTAGTAAAGTAATTGCCTAGCATGCAGGAGGCCCTGGGTTTGATACTTAATATGACAGAAAGGGGAAGAAGAGAAGAAAGAAAGGAAAAGGGAAGAAGAGAAGGAAGAGGGAGAGAAGACATAAAGGTTTTATAAAACAAAGAACAAAAGAGCCAGGCAAAAATGGTAAAAAAAAGCTAGTAGTAATTTGTAACCTTGCAATTTTATTACATTCTCAAATCAAAAGACAGATAAATAGATTACAAAACATGATCCAACAGTATGCTGCATTTCTGAGATTCAATTTTGCCTTAAACACACACACACACACACACACACACACACACACACACACACACACGCTCACATACACACACACACCACATTGATATGAAATGATGGACAAGTTATATTCCAGCATATAGCAGGGGTAGCAATATTTACTTCAGACTAAACTCTAAGTAAAAAATAGCAAATTCGCTGGATGCCGGTGGCTCATGCCTATAATCCTAGCTACTCAGGAGGCTGAGAGCTGAGGATCGTGGTTCAAAGCTAGCCTGTGCAGGAAACTTTGTGAGACTCTCATCTCCAATAAACCACTAGAAAACCAGAAGTGGAGCTATGGCTCAAGCAGTAGAGCACTCGCCTTGAGCAGAAGAGCTGAGGGACACTGCCCAAGCCCAGAGTTCAAGCCCCATAACTGGAAAAAAAAAGCAAATAATCAAAAAAAGTAATTACATAATAAACAACAATAGAGCCAATTAACCATCAGGACATAAATAGCATCAATGCTTCCAACTTTGGAATATGTAAATATGAATGATTCATACACATATTAATAGATCTATATAATAAGATGGAGTATGATGTATTTTAAACAATGGATAGATAATACAGACAGAAAGTCAATACAAAACAAAACTTTAGGCTGACTGAAATTAAAAGGTATATATTAAACTTTCCACTCAGTATCTACAAAATACATATTCTTTTTAAACACACATAGAGGATTCACTATATCTTTTGTGGACACAATGGAATGAAACTAGAAATCAGTTGCAGAACTATTTTTGAAAATTCATATATACATATAGGAACCAATCATTAGCCTTTTGAACATCAGTTAACCAGGGGAAACAATATCAAAAGAGAAATTTAAAAAATATCTTGGGATAGTGGAAATGGAAACACACATACTCCACAATCAAGCTTTAAGCTTTGTATTCAAGAGAAACATGTCCTTGAGATATAGGCAATAGAAGGTACACAGTAAAAAAAAGAATGTAGGGCTGGGAAGGTGGCTCAGTGGTACAGTGGTAGAGTGCTTGCCTTGCATGCTTACCTGGGTTCGATTCCTCAGCACCACATAAACAGAAAAAGCCAGAAATGGCACTGTGACTCAAGTGGTAGAGCACTAGCCTTGAGCTGAGGAGCTGAGAAACAGCTGAGTTCAAGCCCTAGGACTGGCAAAAAAAAAATCTAATCACTCCACATTGGAAATGACTAGTATGCCTATGAAAATAATAGAATAATAATATCCTTCACACACAGTCGATGGGCCACTCTTTTTATTTTTTTGTCCATCGTGGGGCTTGAACTCTGGGCCTGGACAGTGTCCCTCAGCTCTTCAGCTCAAGGTGAGCATTCTACCACTTGAGCTACAGAGCCACTTCTGGTTTTCTGGTGGTTTATTGCCAGGGCTAACTTTGGACCACGATCCTCAGATCTCAGCCTCCTGAGTAGCTAGGATTACAGGCATGAGCCACTGGCCCCCGGTTGGCCACTCTTATGAGATAATTTGGAGCATATGAAATCACCTAAAAGCAAATACATACAGTATGAGATTCTCTTTATATATGGTCTAAAAAAATCTGACAAATCTACACAATTGCACTTAATGGGTTGTGTTTAATGACAAAATTATAAAGCAAAGTGTAGAAGATAAAAGCCAACATCACTGTTCCTTTGTGGGAAGTAATTTCTGGAAGAGAAACGGGGTTTTCAGAGATGTTGTAGTGTTTTTCGTTGTTACTGTTAATTTGGATAGCAGTTACAGTTATATTTATTTCATGACAATTCAGAGTAATGCATGGTTTACTTTGTACAACTTTCTACATATATGCTCCCTTTTTCAACAATGAGAACCAAAAGATTGTTCTTTTTCTCCTGTTCCATACCTGGTACAGCATAAAATTCAGTGGATCATCTGGCTTTTCATAGACTAAGTTTTCAGTGATCTGCTGAGAGAAAGCATAAGACATCACATTTTCGTTCTGAGAGAAAATACAGTCAGGTCATAACATTATTATGAGGAAAATGATCAAATATATCCAATAGAATTGTACCTGATCTCTAATCCCTCTGAAGAGCTTTCTCATTGCCCATTTGCTTCTTTTGGTGAGCACATCTTAATGTACTTACAGACCTCTCCATAAGATTATTTTCCCCATTACAGCAAACCCTCATCTTTCACCTCTTCAGAATGCACAATGAAAGCATTGAGAGGTTTACCTGGAATATTTGCAGGATGCCATGTCTCTCCATGTATTGGAGGGAAACGTGGTAAGGATCTTCGTAAATGATAGGAGGGAACCTCTTCTTGAAACCTTGGGTTTTTCTTCCACTATACGGTCCTGAAAGATTACTCTGAAATGAAAATATCCATCCCACCAAAGAGTTTTTAATACATAAAAAAAACCCAACTTCAGCAATGTTTGCTGCTGTTATGGATGGAATCTAGATTAGAAGGAATCTTACTACCAAGAGTTGGAGGAAAGAGAGGTGTGTGTGTGTGTGTGTGTGTGTGTGTGTGTGTGTGTGTGTGTGTGTGAAGACCCCTGTTTATCCACCAGACAATGTAAGCCTGGAGGTACCTTGTCAAATACTTTTCCTTTACAGAGCTTGCCAATTAATTCCAAATCTTTTTCCCTTGTAGAAAGAAACCTACACTGAAGATTGACTAAATGTCACATAGGAACAGAACCAGAACTTGAAGTCTGTACTAAATCCTGGCCCATTGATCCTTCCTGAGGGCATAGAAACCTTACATCTTTCTCCATGTTGGCTCATTCCTCATACTTGAGCTGGCACGGGCTGCCCCTCACCCCTCTAATCCCCGCCTCCCTAGGCCTCCTGGTTAACCTCCAGGAGGCTCCCAGGTAGGCAAATGCCCTCTTTTTACCACTGAACTTACTTGCATAGTTTGAGGTTTTTCTTGACTGCTGGGATAGGCTACTCCGGTTGAGATGGAGGGCAATTTCTGGCTAAATCCTTGGACTCGTGTTGGGAAGGCATTGGTGAACCGGGTATCCATCATTCTATAACTGGGCATAGCTGAGGTACCTTCCATTTCAGCCTCTGAAGTACCTGAGAGCTGGTCTTGCATATCACTTGAGGTCTTCTCAAACGTGCAGGATTCTACTTTGAAGCCGTATATATCATCACTCACCAGCTCAGAAAAGATCTGATCCTGATATTGGTTAAATGCTTCATTGTAGGGTGGGTAGTAGTCTTTTTGGCCAACCTCTCCGAAGATGCCCTCATTTTGTCCCTCTTGCTGCATGTTCAACATAAATTGCCTATTATACTGCTCTCTAGTGAATTCACTGTCTTCAGTAGACTCTTGCATTCTGTAGTTAACTTGGTCCATTTGCTGAGCGAGGCCGGACGTTCCTTGACCAGCAGGAAATCTGTAGTCAATCTGCTCAGAAGTTCTTCCATCAAGTGTGAAAAACTTATCACTACCCTTTTCTGAAGGTCTTCTGTCAGACTGATGAGATACTTTGCTGTCAGTGGTCTGGGAAGTTCTTTTATCTATCTGACCAGAAAATTTCTGTTCAGCCTGCTGAGAATTGCTCCATTCACTTTGTTTCGACCATTTTTGTACAGCCTGTTCATAAGTTCCCTGGTTAACCTGACCAGATTGGTCAATCTGTCCAGTTTGGTTGGGTGCTGTGCCATAAGTCTGTTTATATGAGCTTTGGTTAACGGGATCAGCGTGGGTTTGGTCATTAGCCTCCTCCCCTTCAGCTTGGTTCTTCTTCTGGTTGTTTTCTCTGTTGTTAGTTTGGCCAGCAGTTGAGGGTGTGGTTGTGTTTTCTCGTTTCCAGGATTCAGCTGGATTCTCTTCTGGAGGCTGGTCCATCTCTGCTCTGTCCCAAACTGGTTTCAGTTGTTAGGTACTATGGGTAAGAACTTGGGCATGGTTGTCTAGGTGACATCCAGGATTCTGAGGTGGGCTTTGTTGTGCTGTCTGGCAAGTCAAGTGGGAGGGGAGATTCCTGGGGTTTGGCTTAGCCAAAGCTACTTTCACCCATTGTTGGTCAACTCTGTAGTGGGAACCAGAGCCATGCCACTTTCTCAGACAGGGCTTCTGTACAACTTGCCTAGCAGCAAGGCCTCAGGGCCCTGCCTCAGTGCCTAGAGTCTCGGGAGCTGGGGGAGAGTTTCCTTGCAGGTTCCCAGTGAATTAGGCCCTCTCAGGTACCACTCCTGTAATTAGTGCCCCTCTCCCAGCCACATGAATGACACTTAGCCGAGTGGAAGTTACTATTGCCACCACATTTAATGGCTTTCCATCAGGTTCTGACTTGGGTCTGATTATCGGTGTGCTATGTGGTAAGTCAGCATCAGGCCCGTGCTCGTAAAAAGCCCTGTGAAATATTATCCTTTAGATGCCGGAGAGTCTGGTGATTCTTGGTTGTTGACTAAAGCCATACTGTGTTCTTTTGCTTGTTTAGACCCTATTTTTCAGTACTAGCTTTATAAACAATGACAGACCTGTGTTCAACAGCACCAGAAAGACCTCCCAATCTCAAGAATACCTTCCTTACAACAAGAGAGAGTAAGCAAAGCAGGTGAAACATAAACAATCTATCTATCTATCTGTCTGTCTGTCTGTCTATCTCTCTATCTCTCTACCTACCTATCTCTCCAGGTGTCTGTTTATCTACTATACCTATTATCTGTCTGTCTGTCTGTCTCAGTGAGAAAAAAAAACAGTTATTTTTGAGTAATAAACACAAGGTCTTATGGGACAGATAGCAACTGGAATATCTAACAAGTGGAGAATTTGTACTTGGTGCTGGTGTGGTGGCCAAAAGTCAGGTATTAATGGTTCTATCTTTTCCTTTTGAGTTTAAACTTAATAGTGCAATTCAGGATCAGCAGGCTCTCCATTTCAGGAAGAGGCAGTATGGAAGTGGTGCTTGATGAGATATTTGTCTTTGTCTCTCCAAAGCTTTATACTACTGAGGCAAATGAGTAATCTGCAAGACTTACCCTGAAGGAGAAAAAAGAATCTGCACGGTGTCAGGTGATGTAGTTCAGTAGCCTTTCTCTCTGTAGATGCCATGGAGTTTCTGAATCTTGTTTTTTTCTCTTTTTTTTTTTATTGTGAAAATACTGTACAGAGGGGTTACAATTACATGGGCAAGATAATGAGTACATTTCTTATCAAGCATTGTAACTTCCTCTTTTGTTTCCCCTTCCCATCCCTTCCCATCCTCCCCCCAACCCCCACACAAAGTTTGTTTTCAACATAACGACTTGTACATCTCATTGTTGCAATGGGTCTACCTGTATCCTTATTTAAAAGATTTGTTTTTCCCCTTCCACTCCACAAATTATACCGACATCAAATACAGTGAAAGCAGGGGTTATACTGTGGGGGAGGGACATACAAAGCAATAAAGAAATAATCTTATAAATGTGTTAGAAACAATCGCATGAAAGAAAAAAACATTTGAATACGTATGTTAGGGTTCATTTCCCTAACATCAACTTATCTGACCTTTTCTGCTTGACTCAGACATATACTAGATATTGCAAATAAGGGAAACCATGGGACCTATGTTTCTTTAGGCCTGGCTTACCTCACTTAACATAATTTTTTCCAAGCCTTTCTATTTCCTAACAAATGGGGCAATGTCATTCTTTCTGATGGAGGCATAGAATTCCATTGTGTATATATACCACATTTTCTTGATCCATTCATCTACTGAGGGGCATCTGGGTTGGTTCCATATCTTAGCTATAGTAAATAATGCTGCAATAAACATAGTTGTGCTGGTAGCTTTAGTGTGGTCTTGTTTGTGAACATTTGGGTAAATGCCCAAAAGTGGGATTGCTGGGTCATAGGGGAGCTCTATGTGGAGTCTTTTGAGGAACCTCCATACTGCTTTCCAAAGTGGTTGAACAAGTTTATACTCCCACCAACAATGCAGTAAGGTTCCCTTCTGTCCACATCCCCTCCAGCATCTGTTGTTATTAGAGTTCTTGATTTTAGCCATTCTAACGGAGGTGAGGTGGTATCTCAATGTTGTTTTGATTTGCATTTCTTTTATGGCTAGGGAGGTTGAGCATTTCTTCATGTGTCTATTGGCCATCCTTCTTTCCTCTTCAGAGAAGTTTCTCTTTAAGTCTTTAGCCCACTTATTTATTAGGCAGTGTTTCTTTGAAGATTTGTTGTTGGGGGATTTAATTTTTTGAGTTCAAGGTATATTTTAGATATAAGACCCTTGTCCGTTGTATGGCTAATGAAGATCTTTTCCCAATCCATGGGCTTTCTATTGATCTTGCTAGCTATGTCCTTTGCCATGCAGAAGCTCTGCAATTTTATGCAATCCCATTTGTCCAACCTTTCTTTGATTTGTTGTGTTTCTATTAAGAAAATTTCGGCCTGTGCCAACGAGACCTTGGGTTTCTCCTATTCCATCCTGTAATGTTTTCATAGTGTCTGCTTTAACTCCGAGGTCTTTGATCCATTTGGAGTTGATATCTGGTGCAGATATAAGGATCTAGCTTTAGTTTTCTACAAGTAGTTAACCAATTTTGCCAGCACCATTTACTGAAGAGGCTGTCTTTCTTCCATTCTATTTGGAGTTTATGAATCTTATTATTAACAATAAATGGAATTTTCTTTTTTGTTTCTTCTTGGTACTTAGTTATTATTTTTAAAAATTATCTTTACATAGTTGTACAAAACGAGCTGCCATTCAACAAAGTAGTTTATGAATACAATGCATCCTGATCAAGTCCTTTGTAAAAGGAAAACGTCTACACTTTGAGATGTTTTACATTCTGATTCCACTAGAGAGCAGCAAAGATTCATGATTGAATGAGGCAATTGTAAAATTCTGCTATTCATTTTGGAATATCATTTGCAATGGAAAATTGGGGGGAAATGCATTTGCCCATAGTTTAAAAAACATAATTTGCTGATATAAATTAAACTCTAATAATAAATGTTAAGTTTAGAAAGGAAATTGTGTTATATTGCACCACAATTTTTCTCATCTTATGGTATTTATTTATGTTTATTACTTGTTTCATTTGTTCCCGTAACAAACATTCTATTACACCACGTTGTTCTTGAGAATATAAGGCTTACTAGTGCATAATTTCTGTGCTAGAAAACGTTGCTTTATAATTTTTAAAGTAGTCATTAAAACGAAAGCATATCTTGGTGCAGCATCATAGTTTCTCACAGAAGCTTTGTTTTAAGAAAACATGAATGGGAGCACCTGACCCTCCAGCTTTAATTGTGAGGCTCGATAGAGGTGAGCACATGTGAGCCTTAACTACTACTCTTGTAAGTAATCAAGTGCTTTGTCTCTGATCCAGGAATCTTAGGTTGTCTGCCAGGGTGCATGAACAGTACGGGTCTAACTTGTTAAGCACATAAGCATGGTAAAACATCACAGCCTTCATGATTTCAGAATACACGCTGCCTTTGGAAAGTAAGCAAACTTAAACTGAGAATGAATAATGAACACGGATGTTCTAAGGAAGTAGGTAGGAAGGTCACCTAGACCATGTCAAAGGAAACTGAGTCAGGTAAGGGGACCCTCTGAAAGTTTCTCTTACTGATTCTGACTCCAATAATTCTACTTGGCTCACTCTTTAAGAAACAGTGTTTATATTATTTTACACTAGCACTTTCATAGTTCATGGTTCTTGGGTTCTTACTGTGAAGGAGGTGTTGGTTTAAAGAAAGACTACACATTCTCAGATCTGAGTATGAACTCTATCTTTTTTCCCTTTTTTTTTCTTCTTTTATTTTTGTCAGTCATGGGGCCTGAACTCTGGGCCTGGGTGCTGCCCTTCAGCTATTCAGCACTCTACCCCTTGAGCCACTGCACACTTCTGGCTTTTTCTGTTTATGTGGTGCTGAGGAATTGAACCCAGGGCCTCATGCACGCAAGGCAAGCACTCTACCACTGAGCCGCCTTTCCAGTCCTGAGCGTGAATGCTAATCTGATGAGGTTTTTATTTTTATTTATTTATTTATTTTGTATGTGTGTGTGTGTGTGTGTGTGCACTCGCACACATGTATGTGTGAGAGATAGAGCCACAGACATAGATCAATGCAACTTTCTATTGTCATTTTAAAACTGCAATTTTCTTTGTGCTTTTACTTCACTACTTTTCTTTAGTTTATTTTAAGGTGATATTAGTATTTCCTAACTTGCATAATAAGGTGGGTTTCAGAAAGTTACTTTCAGAATTTCAGGGCTTCGTCTTTTCTCCGATTTTCTGTTTTGGTTCACCTACCCGACGAGTCAGCTAGGCTTGTTCTGTTCATCCTCTGCTCAGTTTTCCTTACTCTTCCAGCGACTTATCTTTGTTGCTTCCAGTCCTAGTGCACACCCTGTGGGCATCGCGTTCCTGAAAGACACGAGCATCTTGCAGTCAGTCTGTCAGAAGATGCTTCTTTCTTGTCCCACCAAACAAGAGGCTTGGCCTCACACAGCTAAGTAGTTTGCCTCCACTCATTTGTATTTGGCCGTTTATAGGAATAGCTTGTTATATCACTTGGTTTTTGTTTGATTGTTTGTTGATGGTACCAGGATTTGAACTCAGGGTCTTGTGATTGTTAGGCAGGTACTCTGCCACTTGAACTACATTCTCAGCCTTTTCTGCTTTATTTTTCACATAGACTTTCATGCCTTTTTTCTGTCTCTCCTCCTCCATCCCCCAGCTGGCTTTGAACTGGGATCTTCCTACCTAGACCTTCTTTATGATTGAGGTTACAGGCATTTACCACTGTGTCTTGCTGCCTTTTAAGTTCTTACTTTTAGCCTAAGCTATCCTCCAACCATGATCCTCCTGGCTCTGTCTCCCAAGTCACTTACAACTGTCATC